GTATGTATTTTATAGCAGTGTTTTTAGTTCTGTTTCAAAAGTGGTGGAAGGATTTTTTGAAAAATCATTATTGATGATTTTACTATTTGGAAGGTATGATTTATTAAATAATACCTTAATGAAATTTTATTATTGCAGCAGAGGGCTCTCTTCATTTTCTGCTCTTATTTCTTCTTGCAACCATGTGAAGAAGTAGAGCACAATTGAGGAAGTATGTAACAAATATTCAATATGCAGCAGTTCATATGTATTCCCATTAGTCAAATGAGGGGCTTCCCATCTTTCTTCTGCCTCTCTTCTGCGTCTGCATACTAATTGGAAGTGTGAAATATGCATATAAGAAGTAACCATTTACACTGTAGTAGTTATAGCTTTAATTGTAAACTTGATGTATAGTAATTTGAACCTTTCTTCATGAACTGTGCTCATAATTTGTTCATTGTACTATTTTCAATCCATTTTCCACAGCTGCAATCTGAATAAGTGGCTCAATTATAGTTAGTGTTATCTTTTAATATCCACTATGTCTCATGGAAAACTTTGAAAGAAATATTCTATTTAAAGACAATTATGCTTAAATATCGTGATTTTTCTAAAGACTTTTGCATGAAAGCAAATCCCAGAAGACCTCATTTTTCTTCTTTCATAGTCCAATGTAGAATATGATGTCACACTGGAGAATTACTAATCACCTGTCATAGGAAGGGCTGTGATATCACACAGATCAGGCATAGCCCTCATTTTGCGTCTGAAAATTGAGTAGCTTTGATTTAAAAATCCAATTTGGAAAACTTCTCTATAGTTTTAATAAATGAATACTGTTAACAGATATGCTAAAAATACTTAGATCATGTCAAATATTTTTAGATTTGTTTTTAAAAACAAGCAAAATGAAACAAGTCAATTTTGAACTTGCATAAAAAACAGTTTTATAATTTCCCCATAATTTTCCTCTTGTTCAAGAATTACCCTCTTCCCTCTCCCTCCCCCCCCGGGAAAACTTAGGTTTAGGAAATAATATCCTCCATCCGATTGGCTCTATAGGTTATCTGATATAGAAATTTGTGAAAATAAAGGTGATTTATAAACTGTGTGCATTTCTCCTTTGCGCTGTCCTTCTCCATTGCACGGACCTGAAGGAAGAATTTTCTGGCAAACTTTGGATTTCCCATAACGTAGCCATTATGTAACTGCCACTCTTCTGTACTGGCACAGTACATAATACCACCCATTTTCAGTGTGTTTCTCTGAAGAGTGGAAACTAACCAGGGCTCTTACAGCACACAGAAAATGCGGCGGAAAATGAATTGAATGCAAGTTAAATGTCTGATCTTCAGCTCTTGGTGTATTATTCCTGCCTATACTGGTATTTTGTCAAATTGCACTTCCCGTTTAAGATTAGTAGAGCTGGAGAGTCATGGTTTATACAATTGTCATCTTGATAAATAGTACAGAGATGAATGCTTTCATCCAAATTATGCATTCTTTTTAGGGTGATAGCATTACATAATAATAGGGGCAGATTTCCAACTTCTTGATCAACAAAATGATCACAGAAAGACTTCTTAAATAATTCATTTCCGTCTATCAAGGCTGACATGAGGCAGGGTTACCAAACAGCCTCCTTTTGACAGGATAGTCCAATAGTACAGTTCTTATTCATTACTCTGCTACTGGCACAGGAGCACTTGTGGGCATACATCCAGGTCCCCAGGAAACTTGGAAACATTCCATGTTAAAGAACTGCAACTGTGGCTAACAAACCAGCTGCTGTATTGAGCTCCGAAGGAAGTCTTTGTAGCTGTGTGGAAGGAACTTGAGTTATTTGCATAACATCCAGCAGCCTTAGTGGGAAGGATTGGCAAGAGCACAACAGCTGTGTAGGCATCCAGCTTTTATCTTTTGGCCATATCTGCTAGTGATTCCATTCTTAAAAGCTAGGATGAGATGAAGAAAAGTGAAGAGCTTGACCAAAAGGATTGTACCGGTCTCAGAAGAAGGATATTCATGATTATATTGACAGCATTCTTTCTGGAAGTAATAGTTTATTAAATTCAACAGATAAAAGCCTTATATAACAAATAGTATCAACATAATTAGTAAGCAGGTGTATGCAAGTTGCAGAGTTCTTATGACGGAGAAAGAAAAATTGTTGAAGAACAACAACAAATACAGGAAAATAGAGTGCTATCTGTCAGCATAGGTCAGCTGTCAAGCAAAGCATCCTGTTTTGCTGAGTTACAGGAGTTTACAGGAATGACCAGTACTAAAACATACACATTTTATATTAAAAATAGGCATATTTTTTCAGTTAAGCCAACTGCAGAAGTTTAAAGATCAACAAAACCGACAATATTCTGTTTACTAGCATACTTTAAATATACTGCATAACTTCCTCAAATATTAGTATTTCCATACTACAGTTCCATACTAATCACTTCTTCAGTCTTCTATCACACCAACCTTAGTATTGACCACTTTTTACATTGTAAAATAAAATAATTCTCTTTTAAATGCTACCCTTTGCAATGTACTCCTGCTTGAAAATTCTTAGGCTATAGTTTAATGAAGTATTTAAATTAACGCCACTTCTGAAAGTAGCAGTCCTGCTTTCCTGTGGCCTTCAGACTGTCTCCTGGAGGAGGAGGAAAAAAAAAAAAAAAAAAAAAAGGTATTGGTAAGGCTAAGTGGTAAGCCATGTTGTGGATTTGGATTGCAACTAAACAAGGGGGAGCTGTCTGTTTATTGCCCTTCTCTCAACTCACCCACCTCATCCCCAATTTGATTTCAATCCGGATTATGTCTCCGATCCACTTCACTACTTTTGCACAGATGCTTATGACAGAAGAAGAGTTAACATTAGGGAAGAAAAGAGTGGAATTGTTGCAGGATAACTGTTCTTGGCCTTCTACGCTTTTCCCTATTTTGTAAGAGATTAATTTTGATGTTAAAAAATTGTAATAATTGTGTAATGAATTGTATTAATATTTTTGGGTAGGGACAGGTAAGATGTATAGAAGATGTAATTCACCATAACTTCAAAGAAAATTGAATTAATCTTCAATAAACAGTTAAATATATTTCCAGATATGTGAAACTGACCTTTCTTTGCCCTCACTACTGCTTTATATTCTTGCAAATCAGACAGGTGATTCTGGAATAGTTTTGTCACTGAAGCAAGACTAAATTTTCTTACATTATTGCTATTATCTACAGAAGACTCACAGACTATTAAAAAAAAAAAAGTTTTATTGTCATTCTATTGTCAATTGCTTATGTTAGTATATATGCCATAGGAGTTTTCTTATATTTCATCCCTGCATGGTACTTATGCCTCATAAAACATTAGGCATATTGACTGATATTTTCCTTTTTTGCATTCTATTTTCTTAAGTCCATGTTTAAAAATCCTGCGTGCTCCTTTTGAAATATATATATATATATTTTTGAACAAGTCAATTGTTTAAACAGTTTTTTGGGGGTATTTTAAGGAACCAGCACCTTTGTTTTAAGTGACAGCACTGATTGTCAGATGGGAGTTCTGGGAAATTCATATTTAGTGAAAATTAAATGTGAGGATACATTTTTATCACTGTTGTGATCCATTCTTGGTAATACAGTCACATAGAAACCATGTGAGCTGCGACATTACTATAACTCTCTAAGTTGTGTTCATTAACCCGTATATAGAGAAGTCTTCAAGTTTGCTGTACCAAACACACCTCAAATTCATAATTTTTTGACAGGCAGGAAACATACTGTGTGAAGTTTTAATTTAAATTATTCCTTTGTTTCCTTGTCCCCCCCCCCACCTTTTTATTTTTGAAAGAATTTTTTTAGCATTAAATATATAGGGAAAAAAACAGTTGTTTTCTGAACTCTTCTTACCACCTAATATCTTCACTAATATAAGGGTAGAATTAGTATTTCAGTCTAATTTGGCCTGGCTTCTTATAACTCTCGTAGCTGCACATTGTGCTTGTTTGCAACATCTTAAAAAATCTTTGTTATTATTTTTGCCGTTGAAAAGCTGTTAAGGAAGTAGATAACATACAGTCGTATCTCTTTTTTAAATCTAGTTTTATGCAATGGGGTAAAGCGCAGGCTCTGCCTGCAAGTGCGTCTTCACGACACAAGTTGTGGTCATCCTTGAGATCATTAAAAACAATTCAAGAATTTTCTAATGTCCAGGCAGTTCCAGTTTTATAAATGAGTTAACACTCCTGAATAGGGCTACAATTTTTTTTTTTTTTAGTTTGTGGAAGACAGTAATCATATGAAAGTAATTATGTCCTCCGGCACTGTAAGTGGGTAATTGCCTAGGTTCCCAACCAGAGAAACAATCATAACTGTTTTACATAGCTAAATAATAGTTTACAGTCAAACTAATGAAATGTAAAGAAATTTTTCTTTGGAAAAAGTGAAAAATACGTTTATTCACTGAATTAATCACAGTGGAGAGATTACTGTCCTCTAAAATGTTCCTTTTTAAATGAGGCAAGGCATTTTTATTTGTCTAATGACCTGTCTATATTTTGCTTATGTTTTCTATAAGGGTATTGATCTTCTCCCAATAGCTACTGTGTTTATTAGCCATTTTCAAGCAAACTTGAAAAAGATGTAGGAACATTAGAGATGATTAAATTCTTTCATGTTATAGAAAAAACGGTGGTAAGATAGAGAATAGGCACCTAAGTTATTATCACCATTGAAGGAAAGGCAGAGAGCGCTGGATGATGTAAATTGTGTCTAGCAGAACCCAGTTTGCCATTCAGCATGGTTTAGGCCCAAAACTGTTCATAGATTGCAGGCATCATAGGGGAAACTGGGATAATTGCGTTTGTAGGAGCTTAAGAGACAAAGAATACAAAACCATAGAAAGCAAGCTCCTTTGTTTCCAGTTTCATGGGGTGTTGTGTGTATATATAAGCAATATCGAAGGCTTACTGTTATTGAGTATAAACATTTTAATATGCTTTGTCTCTCTCTCTTTTTATAAGCAGATAGAAGAAATTTGTCTGGACTACTGCTGAACTTAATGCTTCTGAATTGAAGGAAATTCTTTAAGATTGCTCTCCTGACTGAAGTTGTACAAAAATGGTACACTGAGAGTTCTACTTGCTCTTCTGGAAAGACTGTAACTGCATTTTTATATTGCAGTTTACTGCTCCATAAATGACAATGTAATAACAAAAGTAACAGTAATTTATGTAACACTAGCAGTTCCCCTCCCACTGACTGGACATGAGTGATCAAAGGTCTTCACAAGAAGATAAGCACAAAGTTAGCAGATCTTCCTCGAAGTTCAGGGAGTCTTCAAGAAGCATGCAATCTGATGATTATTTTGCTAGAAAACTTAAAGCTTTGAATGGTAGCATGGGTCCTCCTGTTTCTTCAAATGCACCTAGCAAAACTGAAAATAATCAAACAAATGGTACACCAGCTGTGCCTAAAATGGGCGTTCGAGCAAGGGTATCTGAATGGCCTCCTAAAAAGGATTGCTCTAAGGAGCTGAGTAAAGCCGCTTGGGAAAGCAGACCTCAAACCAATTATGAAGGCGTTGGATCAATACTTCCAAATGGGCAAAATGACCAGAATGATGAGCAGCAAGAAGAGCTAGAATTGGAATTTACAGAGGGCAAATATACTATTGGAGATCTTTTTGTTCATTCTCCTCAAAGAGGACTGCATCCCATAAGGCAGAGGAGCAACAGTGATGTGACAATAAGTGATATTGATGCTGAAGACGTGTTAGATCAGAATGCTGTTAACCCAAATACTGGAGCAGCTCTCCATAGGGAATATGGCAGTACTTCTTCAATTGATAGACAGGGCTTGTCTGGAGAGAATTTTTTTGCAATGCTAAGAGGATATCGAGTGGAAAATTTTGAACATAAAACCCTTGCTCCATTTGGATTTTCTGAGTTTTTCCACTGTGATCCTACAGTTTCTCCGAGTCTTCATGCTGCCGCACAGATTTCCAGGGGAGAATTTGTCAGGATTTCTGGCTTGGATTATATGGATAGTGCCCTGCTTATTGGTCGAGACAGGGAGAAATCTTTCAAGAGGAGACTAAAATCAGAAACAGTAGAAACATCTCTATTTAGAAAATTGCGAACAGTTAAAAGTGAGCATGAAACTTTTAAGTTTTCATCTGATCTGGATGACAGACTTGAGAGAAACGTTCGTTCTTGGAACTGTCAGAAATGTTTTGCACATTATGATGTTCAGAGCGTTTTATTTAACATAAATGAAGCAATGGCTACCAGAGTAAATGTGGGAAAAAGAAAAAATATAACCACTGGGGCTTCAGCTGCATCACAAACTCAGATGCCAGCAGGCCAAATAGGAAACTGTGAATCTCCTTTGGGAAGCAAAGAGGACCTCAATTCAAAAGAGAATTTAGATGCTGATGAGGGTGATGGGAAAAGCAATGATTTAGTATTGAGTTGCCCTTACTTTAGGAATGAAACTGGTGGGGAAGGAGATAGACGGATTGCACTTTCTAGGGCAAATTCAGCATCTTTTTCTTCAGGTGAAAGCTGTTCTTTTGAGTCTTCTTTAAGTTCCCATTGTACAAATGCTGGTGTTTCAGTACTGGAAGTACCAAGAGAAAATCAGTCAATTCACAGAGAAAAAGTGAAGCGTTACATCATAGAACACATTGATCTTGGAGCATATTATTACCGCAAGTTCTTCTATGGAAAAGGTAAATTTTTCTAACGCAGCTCTTCTGAGATATGCATGCATTGTAATTAACTTGCTTATTAAACATTATTTTCTTCTCTGTAGAAAGACCTAAGTATTACTGAGGCTATTGCAACATTTTACCAAAGTTCAGCCTCTTAATATCCCCCTGGAAGAGCACAAATTATCAGCCAGTGGGTTATGAAGCTCTACAGTACCACCCTAAAAGTCACTAAATATGGGGTAATTTAATATGGAAAATAATTAGCTTCCCTGTGCCAAACTTTTTGGGAGGGCAAGGGAGAAGGAAGATACTTATATCCGGTAAACGCATTCTAAATACTGATACCCAGACTGGATGTCAGTATTTCCTAAAAGATACCTTCAAAAAAGGAAGTTCTATTTTTGAGGCTTCTGAGTCCCTTCTTCCAGATTCTGCTGCCTTCCAGTGTCTCTTGGGGCCTTTCAATACTGTATGCATGTATAGGTACTTCTGTCAGCACCTTAAACGGCTTCTGATGATACTTAGATTTTCAGCTTAAAGAAGGTTGTTTAATATCTTTCTCCTTTATGCCATTTGCCCTATTATTTTAGGATGTATTCAAACTGCAAAGTGTCGGATACTCTTCTCAGCAGGCTAAACTAACTTACCTTGAATCCTTATTTAGATAAGCAATTTACGTTTTGTGATTTGCTTTGACTGATTGTAATCTCTGTTTTTGTGGGGAGGGAAAGCCCCAAAGTACTTCTGTCTGCTGTTTTTGTATTATGAGTTACAGCTTAATCTTTTGCTGTTATTAAAAGAAATTTGCTTTGTCCTTAAAAGATTGTTTGATACTGCCTGAGTCTTGCTGAGATCAAACCTCTTTGCTTCCTAACTGTATCTGGACAGCAGGAAATACTACAGTAAGCACTGTATTGTACTACTTCCTGTTGTGGCACTTTGCAAGGGACTCAAAGGAGGATCCTGCTCAGTGCTTGTCTTCATCATACTGTGGAAACCTAGAATAAACAGATTGTAAAAACAGTGTATTTAAAAGAGGAGGAGGAAAGAATCTGCATCTGTGATGGAGAAGGAAGAAAAAGACCCTAGTCTTTTTCTAGTTAAGCAAGTTAGTTAAGCAAGGAAGGGCAGTAAGTTCAAAGACTCAAAATAGTTTTTAAGCTAGGTTAGTTGTAAAGGATCAGAAGGTGTTGGCAGAGTCAGGGTGGAAGAGAATGAAGGGAAATTTGTGACACAGGGATGCCATATGTTTTGTGGGACTGAGAGAAGAAAGAATTGGTGTTGATATGAAAGTTGTTAATGGACAAAGGTGGTAGTGGGAGGAGAAGAAGAACAGAAAAAGACAAAGATTAAGCTGAATAAAAGATAACTTGTTTGTGAAATGCTTTTAGAATGAATGAGTTACTGGTTCCAGAAGGGTTGACTATTTTTTGTGATGAAAAGTCTTGTAGGAGAGAGAAAAAATAAAACATAAACAGTACTTAAAACCACTTTAATATATTATAAACAAACCTAAAGACCTTTCTAGAATGCTGATGCTTTATGTTTATATTAAGATGGTATTAGAAACATAAGAAATATTATCTGAATTTTATCCCATACAGTAAAATGTTGGAAAATTTGAACTGTTATTGTCCGTGTTTTCAATTGTTCTGTAGGTAGAGTTCTTCAAGAGTAAATATCATATGTGAGACAATATTCAGTAGTAAATACTCTCACCTTTACGAGGATATATAAGCCATTCCCTTTTTCACGTTATCTTCCTATAGAGTTGTAACAGAAGCTACATGAGAGCAATCTGCATTGGATGGCTCTTATGAGGGAGACAGCAAGTTAGGCAAATGTGTTGATCGAACCAAACACTTCATTTTCGGTATCTATTACCAAAAGGGATAAAGCATGTGGGGAATCTCCAGGTTACTTCCAACTGAACATGGTTCTTCTCTAAGCAAAATATTTTTGGGGTAGAGGAAAGAAAACGAGCATTTTGCCTTGTGCACTAAAATATCTTGCTACGGTGCTGATCTCCTGTATAAGAAAAAGTGACATTTATATGCGCATTGAGTCTTACTTGATGCTCTTCCATGACGGCGAGCTCTCCTAGCTGATTGTTCATTGAATTGTAGATCTGATAGCACAGTTGAATTTAGCAATATAATTGTGGAAGGATGAAATAAAAATTTAGCAAACAATAGTCACTTGTTTATAAAGACGTATGCAGCGCCACTGATTTTCTTTGCCTTTAACAAGATATCTGTGAAAGAGAAATAACTTTCTGCATATTTGATTTAGTTCACAGTTTTGTAATTGGCACTTGTCAACGTACAAGTCTTATTTCTGTTTTAAGATGCATGGAAGAAACACCCTGGCATGTGCAACACTAATTATTCCCTTCCCTTTCAAGAAATGAGAGATTTGGAATTCAGTGTCTTCTGAAATGAGCTGCAGTTTTATACTGCATATTTATAAGCTTTGTAACTATTGTTAAAATCAAATCCAACATGACTGATGTAAAATATGTTAATGTTTATGGAAAATGTCTTCTCAGTTTTCAGTTAAGGTTTGCAAAAGCTAGAATGTTTTATTTTATCTCATGGTTTTGATTTATTAATGGTGTCCTTTCCTAAACTATCCTTTTGTGGGAAAAAAAAGGAGGGGAGGGGAAAAAAGCTGTGTTAATTTTTAAAAGGATAATTGAAACAAGTTTTTATTATTGAGTTGTCTGTTGCTCTTTTGCAGTTATGCTTATAATACCCAAGACTGTCTGTTAATACCATGCTTTTTATTGGTGGGATGCTTGCAGCCACTTCTTAATATGATACTCTATCTATCTGCTGATACAAAACTTAAGAAATGCCCTGAAAAGAACTTTACAGGATTAGCAGGCTCACAGTATTAACTCAGTATTCTGCAGCTTTGAGACAGTCTCTTTTCCTTGCAGATTGAATCTTACAGATGTGAAGTTTGCCAGTGTAAATAAGACCTTTTATTAGAAGGAAAGTTGCCCATTATTCTTCAAAATGAAAAAGTAAAAAATGAGGAATACTTTATTATCTCTTTTTTTAAAGAGTTAGGAAATAGGTTATTTTCCTCTTTTCTCCAATTCATACTTTTAAATGAACGTAAGTGCATAATACGTAAATTAGCTTAATAATTTTGTTCTTTGACATTTAAATACAAAAAAAAATGCCTTGAATTAAAAATCTTTTCCCTAAAGCCTGGAATATCTGTAGCCATGCTATTTTTTAATTTACTTCAACTTCTTGAATCCCATTCTTGAAACTGGTTTACCATGTGTATTTTTAATATACATTAGTAACTTCTTTGGGTTTACTTCTCTCATGTTGTACAAGAATTAAGCAGAAGTCTACCAAACTTGAATCTTTATGTGCAGTAATGCTGTAGTCAATTAGTAACTGTGGAATAAGTGTTTCTAGACTGGTACCAAAATAGAGGGCTGTAGAAACCTTGACTAAGACGTTTACCTTTTGTCAAAGCTTGAAAATGCAGCTATGCAGAATTTGTATGTTGCTGAAAAGTGTTTGGCCTCTGAATATCACAGAAAACCACCGCTCAATATATTGTTGTTGGTCTGTGAAATTCTGTTCCATTTGTTTGAAAAGTTTATCCATAAAGACTCAAAGTTTTAATTCAGCACTGTGAGAAGTGCCCCATTGACAGTCCGTGAGATACAATTTATCTATGCACGCATAATACCCCTGTTGGAGAAATATTTCCAGTGAGCAAAATGAGCAAATAGTTTAGTGTCCGTGCTCCTTGGATCCCAAAAAAGAATCCCAAAAAAGTAGTTGTAACGTGCTGTTGTTCATTTTCTCTCCACTGAGAAATGAACTGTGACCACCAACATCCTCCAGATAGATCCTTGAAAGGCCACTAGACACTTTATTTAAGCTTGATTTGAGAAATAAGACTCTCATTTGAATGGTTACTTAGGGATAACTTTTATCTTTTTGTGTTCGTTCTGAGAGTATAGATGGCTTCTTGATGAAACTTTTTTGTGAAAAATTTCTTCTGCACTTCTGTAAATACATTGTAAGAAAAGTATCAAAACTAGTTTAAAAGTACTACCAAAGTGTTTTAAGACAATCTTAAAAAGAAGTCTATTACTTAATTGTTATCAAAAACATGAAAGCATAGCATAATTTAGATAGCTGTTCGAAGCTACCTTTAATGTGAGAGCAGGTTGCTCTGGACCTTGTGCAATAGGCTCCTGAACATATCCGGCAATGGAGATTTCACAGACTCTCCAGGCAACCTGTTCCTGTGTTTCATTACCCTTATGGCGGTTCCATCTTGTCCTTTCTCTCTGGAGCTTGGAGAAGGGTCCGGCTCTGCCTTTTCTATAACCCCCTATCAGGCAATGGCATACTGCAGTTACTCCTCCCCTTAACCCGCTCTTCTGCGGGCTGAACAAGCCTAGCTCCTTCAGCCTCTCCTCCTCTGCTGTATGCTGCACCCCCCTGGTTGTCCTGGTTGCTGTCTGCTGCACTTGTCCCGTTCTCTCCAAAACTGGACACACTACTCTACGTGTGCCCTCACAAGTGCCAAAGAGAGAAGGAGGATAAACTCTTCCCTTGGCCTTTGGGCTATGCTCTTGCTGACGCAGCCCAGTAAGTGGTAAGCCTTCATCTCTGCCAGGGTGCGCCGCTGACTCCTGGGCAACCTGCTGCCCCTGAGGGCGCCCTGGTCCTTTTCTGCAGAGCTGGTCCTGAGACAGCTGGTCCCCAGTCTGTGCTGTTGTATAAGCCTGTCCTGTTCCAAATACAGGATTTTGTTGTTGACGTTCGCGAGGTTTCTGTCAGTCCCTTTCTCCAAATTGTCAAGGTCCTTCTGAACGGCAGCCCTACCTTCCAATGTATCAACTGTTCCTGGAGAATATGGCCTCGTACATGAACTTGCTGGGGGTGCGTTCCATCCCATTGTTTGGATCATTAAAAAAAGGTATTAAACAGTACTGCCTCCACTATCAACTTTTGATGAACCCTTTAGTAATTGACCACTAATTGGAATTCGTATTGCTGATCATAGTCCTTTGAGGCCAGCTGTCCAGCCAATTTATATCCATCTTTTAATCTCTGTGTCCGATCTATATCTTTTCAGTTTAGCTGCAATGATACTATGGGAGACTGTAATAGGCAAAGGCATTGCTAAAATACAAGTAGGTGACATCCATTGCTCCCTCCTCCTCCACGAGCCAGTCATCTCTTTATAGAAAGCAATTGGGTAGGTCAGGCATGATTTGGATTTGGTAAATCTGTGCAGGCCATTCCCAATCATCTTTTTGTCTTTCATGTAACTGGAAATGGCTTCCATGAGAATTTGTTCCTCAATCTCCATGGGGACTAAGGCATGAAGCGGACTGGTCTGTAGCTTCCCAGATTCTTTTTCTTGACCTTTTTAAAGATGAATACGTGTGCTTTTTCCCAGTCGTTGGAAACATTCGCCACTCACTAGGATCTTTCAAAGATGATGAAGAGTAGTTTTGCAGTGAGATTGGCCAGTTCCTTCATCACCCTTGATTGTATCCCATCTGGTCCCATGGGCTTGAGTATGTCCAGGTTGCTTAAAGGTTGCTAACTTGATCTTCCTCTTCTGTAGGTCCCCCAAACTTGCCAGTGAACACAAGGACCAACCTAACAATTCAGCAAAGATTGAAAAGTTTCTGTCCTCAGTTTCCCAGCTGAGTTGTTGCATGAAATGTTACAGCTTTAAGTAAGAATAAGAATAAACTGAATGAAATGAAAGAAACTTACCCTACACAACACCTTATTTGTTTGAAGACTATTACATACTGTGGCTCGATACAGTTTCTCTGAACGAGTTTCTCATCGCATAAGAGAGAAAAATGATTATTGCATAGTAGCAGCTTTTAGGCAGATGCGATTTATTATGAGTTATGTGATACGACTGACTGTCCTGACCTTGTCAAAATTAGCATTTTGTGATTTCCGCACTTGCTATGCAGTACAGAAGATCACAAACCAGTGTATAGATTGATCTCATAACTCAATTAGAGAATTTGTGGGTTTTAGTCAAACTTAATTCAAATGCTTAACAGCTGTTTTGTGATCCATGGAGATGAAACTAATACTTTCCTTCTCAAAATTCTTTGATGAGATTTGATGAACGTCATCTGTGAGACTCATATTTCTCTTTTCTCTTCGTTCCTTCTGTTTTGTAAAAGAGCATCAGAACTACTTTGGAATAGATGAAAATCTCGGACCTGTAGCTGTCAGCATTCGAAGAGAGAAGGTTGAAGACTCAAAGGAGAAAGAAGGATCTCAGTTCAACTATCGAATAGTTTTCAGGACAAGTGAGGTAAAGTTCTTTCATGCATTGTGCAAAGGAATGGAAAAGATAACTTAAAGCTTAGGATACTAGTTGTTTCTCCTTTCATTTGTCTATGGATAGATCATTAACCTTGAAAGAAGATCTGTGAATGGGAAAGGGATATTTCTTGTATAAATATAGCTGGCCCCTGGAGCACGATTTTTCCTCTCTGCTATATAAAATTATTCTCTTTTTGGGTGGGGACCCAAAAGGAGGTAAGTTAGATGAAGATGTATATATCTGCAAGAGTCAAAGGAATAGATAAGAATAAAGCCGAAGATAAGGTGCTTGATGTTTCTTGTGATAGGAGTAAAAGATTAAGAAATTCAGGAGAATAAAAAACAGCAGAAAAATATGAAAGCTAGTATTACCACTTAAGTGAATTTGCGTGTGTTTGGTTTTCAAATACTCCTTATTAGAAAATGTATTTTCTGTGAGGAATTCCTTTTTTATATACTTCTCTTGTACATAAGTAATATATGGAGAGAATATTAATGTGTTAATAAATAAATGTTGAAAGGACACTTTTCAAGCCATAACTTCTATTTCAGATGAATTTGTATCCTTTGCAAAAGTAAATTCTTCTCTATCTCAGCAGTTAACTTTGATTTGTATGAAAATATACAATGTTACCATTTTAGCAAGCAACTATAAACTTTCCTAATCCTTTGGACTTTTGCCTCCTGTTGTGATTAGGAGACACAGAAGCATTAGCTAGAGTTCCTGATATCTCTGGGCTCATGTGTTTTTACTGAACATATGTATACATAGGTTTTTCAGGCTAGGTTTTTTGTTCATTACCCAAAAAGGTATGTCTGTATGTAGGTATGTGGGGAGTGGTGATTCAGCTGACTAACCTCTAAGCAGTATTTCTCTTGTTGCAGAATCCAATGAGGATAAAGCATTATGGTTTTAAAAAAAAAAAAAAAGTGAATGGGATAAACAAAGTTGCTGTTAGCTGTGGTTTACCTTGCCTGGCTAACCTAACGTTCAAGCTACTGTGTCTACTGGGGTAGTATTATAACTAACAATTATTAGTTATCGCAGTGCTTAATTTTTTTTTCCAAAGGAGAAATAGTCTTAGAAATTAGAATAAGTTAAGATGATTATCAGTTTTTTTTAAACAAAAAGCATACTTATCACTGAGAAAATAAGAGCCTATGGCTTCTTTTTTTAAAAGTTATTCACTAATCTTGGTGCAGGCTTTTTTTTATATCGATATTTTTCTTCCCACTCATTCTCTCTTCCATACTTTTTGTATAGCCTGAAGATCATATCGTTAAAAGTCATTGTAGTATCAGAATTAAGAATATTTTATATGGTTTCTCTTTACTGCAGCTTACTACACTTAGAGGAGCAATTTTAGAAGATGCTATACCATCCACTGCTAGGCATGGCACAGCAAGAGGCCTGCCTCTCAAAGAGGTACTGGAATATGTAATACCGGAGCTGAGCATTCAGTGCCTGAGGCAGGCTTCCAACTCACCTAAAGTCCCTGAACAGCTGCTTAAATTGGATGAACAAGGGGTATGTAGCATGAGACTCTCTTTAAAGACTATTAACTTAAAAGATTAGATTTTTATTTTAAATATTTTCCTGGTGATATTAATAAACATGGATCTATGATACCACCTGGTTACTTCCTTGATTTTGGAGATATTTACTCTCAGCTGTTTACTTTCATTGACAAAATGAGGTTTGCTTTTCAGCATGGCAGTATGTAATGGTGTTATGGCTACAGAAATCAACAGTTTTTCTTTTTCTTAAAAGTATTTTAAAAATTAGAAATAAGAGTCTTATTTTCTAAATAAATTGTTTTTAAAATATATTGAATTTTAGGGGAAAAGGGCTAATCTATGAAGGTTCTCTTTAGACCGCAGAGTGAGAAAAAGATTATAACTAAACTTTTGATTCTTATAAGAAGTGGTTTTTACAATCTGTATTTGCACTTTTCTGTGAGGAAACACCGAATGCAAATGAAAATATGTTTAATATATTAATATTGATGTTGTGTAGAAGAGGCAAAATCCTAAGGATATAATATGTTAAGTCTCTACATCTAAAGTTTCATAGTTTCTTTCTTTTTTTCCTCTCATTTTCTTTTCTTCCCTCTTTCTTTAACACATTAGCATGTTCTGATTCATTGTAGCAGTCTTTATTGGTAGACTGGAATACTTCCGGGTTCAAACAGCTGAAATTCTAATTGGAACTATCTACTGAATTGCCACTGCATCAGCAATGAAACAAACTGATATGCTTTAACTTCAGAGAGAAAAATTGTAAGGTCTACTGGGTGCAGTGAAGTGAATCTGCCTCATTCAAAAACTAGTGAGGAAATGCTTAGCTTCTGAATAATTTGTGAAGGACAGGCATGTGAAGGCTTTTAATACAGTTTTAAAAGACATTTTAAAAGGTGTTCATCTAAAGAAAATATTGTATTTTCTATGCAAAAGTCAATATTTGTCTACTGAAGTTGAATCAGCTGATAGATTCAGCTGACTGTAACAGTGGTATAATAATTTTATTTCATTCATTCAGTTTCAAAAGCAGTGATTGTGTCTAACATTTTGGTATCTACCAGAATTTTTCTGTCTTGTTGTAACAGTTGATGAAATCCAAGTAAATGTAGACAGAGGAAGAGAATTTCTTTTTTTGGTTGGACTGTCAAGCTTGTTTTGTATTTTTTATTCCTTTTGTTTGTTATAGTCTTTGAGGAGAACTTTACTTTTAATTGCTATTTCATTTTGTCAAATGTCTTCATTTTTTCCTGTGTTTGTAAGTGCTTCTGATAAAACAATAAAGGGAAATTAGAAGTAGTCAGTCAGTCCTGAGTCTAAGAGCTCCTAATCTCCTGTCACTGGAGCTCCAGAGTGAATTTAGGTTCATCTGATAAATATTAAATGCCTAGAGGAGAACTATGCTCGAGGCAGTGTAGAACACTTCTTTATTTGACCTGAATATAATACTTACCAAACTCACTATCTTTGCCTGTATCTGGAAATAGAGATTGTCCATTGAAGTGACCAAAGTAATTTTTTAATTATCAGCTCCTAATTTTGAGAAACAGCAGTACCTAGCTCTTCTTTTTATTGTAGGTGTTCCATTTTGAAAATTCGTATCTGTTGTGAAATGCACTGTCACCAGGCAAAATATAATATTAACACATCTTATATGCTACTTATTGTGAGATAGTTACTTGAACATAGACAGAAAGCTGTGCATAGAACTGGCATGAGATCCATTTATGTTTTAAATTCTCCTATGTGCTTGATGCTTTGATTTTATTAATCAAGCAAATATAAAAAGAGTTATGCTTGGCAGCTGAAGGTGATGACTGGCTGAAGAGTCACAAATTTAAAAAATATAAATTATGACCTTCAGGATTGATAATGTCATTAGAATAGTATTTATTTCAGATATTGCTGTATTAAGTATTTGCATAGTTCTTCAAGAGACTGAAGATAGTTTCTGTAGGTAGTGTTTTGATTTCATTTTTATATCATTTTCATTGTTTTCAGTGAAATCCATGAATGGGTTGCAGAGGAAATGTGTGGCTAAAACTTTTTTCCTAAAGTGACAGTAGAAAGTAGATGGAAATTGGGTGGTTGCCCTAATTTGAGAGTATCAATAAAGAATCAGCATTTTCCCAGTTGTTCTGGCCTCCGATGATCAGTATTAGATTTGAATATAAATTTACAGGAAAAGTGAATTGTTTATCTAAAGCAGTAGGAATGGATGGGACTATTTTTACTCACCCTTAATTCCCTCCTTGTTCCACTTCCCTATTTCTGCTAATGGCAGTTTAATCTGTATATGTTTTTAGTCTCCCTCATATCCCTCTGGGAATGTTCGCTTCTTTCTAGACCAAGAGTTGAACTTTACAAAAAGTCCAGAGAAATCAGGAGTCGTGACTGCAGTGATATGTAGTGGCTATTGAGCGTGTAATTTCTTCTGTTTCCTTGCCAGAAAAACTCAAAAGTCTGCATGTGATGAAAGTCATGAAGTTGTTATTATATAATAAAGAATGTACTCTAAAGAAGTAGAAAAGCTGCCAAGATTTAGTAGTGAGTGATCCTGAGTAGAACATAGCCATCCTGAGTGAGGGAGGACTGCTAAGCACTTTTAATACAAATCATATACCTAAGTAGCTAAACGGTTTAGAAAATAGTTTCTAGAAAATAGTTTCACATTATAAAATTGTTCTCAGATTAAATGTAAGATTCCTAATTTAGGAATCGTTAAATCAGAACCATGTCTGGAATTATTTGCTTAGGAAGATTTGAGCAAACATGGAATACAATTTCAAAGCTAGCAAAATTTAATTTTAAATAATCTGATAATTTTTACGCAGGTTAAGTGCCCTGTATAAGATGCTGCCTAAGCTCATTTAGATACTTCTTTCTTACGCCCTAAGTTCTAAAGGCACCTAGACATCTGCTTCTGCACATGCCTAGGCTGATGGACACAGGCTGCTTCTGTGACCCAGAGCAAAGTGTTCTTTTGCTTAAGTCTTCTGAAAGGCCTGATCTCATAGGCATAGGTGTTCCTAACACAGTTAGGAGATTAAGATTACTGCAAAAGTGCTTGCAGCTGCTGCTGTGTTCAGTGGAAGTGCTATTGGTAGAATCAACTTTGTATGTAATTGCCGATTGTTTAGAGTACTTGCCCACAAAGTGAAAACCTAGGATTAACTATTTCCTCACCTTGGGAAGTTTCAGATCCTTATCTTTGCTATTTCCTAGGACAGTGTTTTAACCACAGGGTGGTAGGTTGTGTTGGAGGATAGAGATATGTTCCATTTCTGCTTGAAATTGTACTGAGATTCAGGAGCTAATTCAGGATTCATTGGTCTCCTGAGAAGGAATGAAGGAACGGGACTGCATATTTTGACACTGAATGTTTTGCCCAGGTGGTGTTCTAACTTGCCATTCATTAATATTGTTAAAGTCTTAACTGATCTGTCTTCTCCCTCTTCCTTCTGCTACTGAACTAGATGCTCAAATCATTCTAGAGTAACTTGAGTCACTGGATTCCCAGCACCTTAGGGCAAGTTGGAGACCACGTTTTTGTGCAGCATGACTAGACTGTTAGATATGATGATGGTAGTTGTTGCAGTAACTATTAGTGGCTCAGCACTTTACTTCTCCAATCCTCAATTGTGTTGTAAAAGTCAAGGAAATAAACTCCCTACGGTTTAAGCTAAACTCTTTGACGTTGAACTGGAGCAGAAGTGGCAGTGTGCTCACAACTAGCCTAAGTCTCTGCTGGGAAATATTAAGTAGCAGCACCACTTCCTATAATCTGATGTTTATATAAGCAGTTCTCTTCCAGTCTACTCCATGAGTTGTCCATGCTAGTTTTCCACTGAAGAAAATAGTCTCCAGTGTGGAATCTGGAACCTTTTGTGAAATGCCTACCTCTCTCCAGGCAGTGCTTCAAAATGGGGACCAAACTAGCAAGCACTCTGGATGAAGAATGCCTAAAGCCAGTCCATAGGAAATGCCAAGAACAAGCTGATGTCTTAATGCTGCCCTTCTCCAGAATTTAGAGGTCTGACTCAGGCACCTCCTACAGTGATCTGTAACCCAGAATCTTTTCTTATTTCTGTGTATAATAGGGACCTCAGTTATTTGAAAGAACTTTTTTTTTTTTTTTAACTGTTGTTGGAAGTTTTGGGTGCCCAAATCTTGTACTGAATCTACATACACTTAGACAGGAAAAAAGTCTGATTTTCTGTTGAAATGAGGAAATCTCTTTGTGTTGGATATGTATTGTTCTACAGATCTTTGTCCTCATAAAGGAATCTGTTGGCCAATTTCAGTTAAACTTGATGATTATGTTCTGACAGGTGTCATGTAAATTTATGACTTAGGTAAGGGGAAGAGAGCTGAAGGGAAAGGCAGTAGCATAAGTTCAGCTGTACTGGGCACCAGAAAACTCAGGAAAAAGGTTACATACGCTCTAATCACAGAAAAGATTGAATGAAAGCTGACATCTTATTGGACGCTTGGTAATCTAGCTACAGGAAACTGTTACAAGAACAGCCTTCTCATGGAGCTACCTGTTCTATGTAACAGTGTTTAGAAATTTTACTACAAGCAGGGGCTAACTTTGGTTGAAGTAGGTCTTCAACCCGTTTTATTTCTCCAGGACATGGGGGGTTTTGTTTGTTTGTTTTTTTGTTTGTTTGTTTATTGTCTCTTGTCAACTGCCTCACATGCTATGCTCTTCGTACAATGGAGAAAGGCAGAATTTATTTAAGTGGGAAGATTAAACATTATTTGAAGTTTGGAATTATGTTCATGATAGTTTTCTCTTTTGTGTATGTATATTTTTATGACTAGATCTTTCAGTGTTCCCGTCTTGCAGGCGGCTGATATTGTTGTGATAAATATTTCTATCAGTGCAGTAGCATGTCTATGAGTTTGAGTTCTGCAATATGCTTAAGCCTGCAGACCTCGTGTTACTTGTCTAAGGTGAAGCAGACTGTTCTTGTCACCTCTGCTCTAATACAAATGGTATTTATACAATCTTTACTTGAGACAGTTTAGATACCAATCCTGAAATTTGATAAAGAGAAGACTGTACAGCTGGAGACTTGATTTGAGTAGCATATATAGTCTTAAGGGAATCTAATGTGACTGATGATCTCTGTCAGTTTGTGAAGCTCTAGTATTTGGCAGTAAAAACAATAGGAGTAGTCTATTCACGTGGAGGTTTCCTGCTTGCCATGGTAAATATATGTAAAAGCTAAGAAAAAAAGACAACATCTTGGTCCAGATATAATCATCTCTTTTTTTTATACTAAAGGTCTAGAACTGACTTTAACTCATTGAACAAAACTATTCAATTGCAATCTGATTTCTAGTTTTAAGTTTACTGTATGTTGGTCAGGCAGTGTTTACATAGTAAAACCTTTGAAAATAGGGAATAATTTTTTGCAGAAGACAGTTTTATAGGGAGGGGAAAGATTTATTGATGCATATAAGAGAAATTAGTGTTGTGAGAGTCTGTTCACAGTGCCTTGTGAAAAGCAGGTCTTCACAACTGCTGCTCTTACGTAATTGGAAAGGTTATTGGGTGGCGGGGGGGCAACTTCATGTGCAGGGAGGTGTCTGGCTGAATTTTAAAGAGTAGAAATGAGGGAAAATAAACTCCTCACCTTGTTTTGTATCTGAGAGAGAAGACTACAATACGATAATTGCCAATTAAAATGCTCACATTATGGAACATGCAATAGAGTATGCTTCTGTAGATAACTGCTTAAGTCAAAAGTCGTCATTGACTGTTTCTGTGTTTGGATCATGACAATCCAGTTTTCTTTCAAGATAATTTTCTTTGCTCCTTGTAGTGACTTAATGTCCTAAATCACAGCACTTATTTTTGTCATCCTCAAGTTACTCCTGCCAGGCATTGAAACGGTGTTAATATTTGCTTTAGCATTTGCTTTCTTTTGCTTCTCTAATTTTCTTTTCCCTTTTATTTCAGCTGAGTTTTCAACATAAGATTGGTATCCTTTACTGCAAAGCAGGCCAAAGCACAGAGGAAGAAATGTATAACAATGAGATGGCAGGGCCAGCTTTTGAAGAGTTCCTTGATCTCCTGGGCCAGAGAGTACGGCTAAAAGGGTTTAGTAAATACAGAGCTCAGCTAGATAATAAAAGTAAGTTGTGTTTCTGATCTGTGGTAAAAACTGTAATTCTCCAGTGGTAAGCATCTTCTGCAAATCATGTGTTCTCATGCTCTTGACTTTGGGATAGACTAGCAAGTTTATAGGCTAGATGAGGAAGATAAAGTACGTGATAAGAACAGTATATGCATCACACCCTATCTGAAAGGTTATTTACTTTTTCTGTGACAGAAAAAAAGATTGGAAAACCAAAACAACTTATTTCATTTTCTTGCCCTTACTAAAATACTGCAAAGTATGTGATTCTTGATGTATTTTAGAATTTCATAGCTACATTTTACTATCTTATCTTTAAAAAGATAAAAAAAAAAAAAAAAAGACATATTTTGAAATGTGGAGTCATAAGATGGGACCATTTTTCTTATTCCTCTTAGACTTCTGCATTTCTGTTAATCAGTTTATACATCAGTGTTCATGTTTGAGGGGAAATCAAATTTTCTGTAGCACATCAAGCATGTTACGATTCTGTAGTTAACAAACATTCATCTGCCTAACTATTGTGTTGCTTCTGCCTTTTCAGGGCAGTGCAGTAGTGTAAGAAGTTATTTATACATAATTTTTTTTTGTTTGGTGTTTTTTTTTGTAGCAAAAATAGAACCTGAAGTATTGCTGTTGACAAAGTCAGTGATATTGCCACACGTTTCCTTTGCGTTGTTGGTCACTGCCCTTCAATTTTTCTGAGCTTTGTTTACAGCTGACCAATTAGTACATCATTAACTTAACTCATTCTTTTAGTTAAATGTGGTGTTAACAGCATTTTGACAACTGATCACTGAGATGTGATCTAAGCACAGGTCTACTCACCTACTTTATGGTAACATAGTGTTTGTGTCATATGTTTGTTTTTTCTATAGCCTGTCTATTACATCCTGAAAATAGACTTTTATTGCATACTATACATGGCCTAAGTATAACAACAATGGAATATTTTCATTAGCCAAGTATATCTTTTTAAGTTACTACATCCTGCTACTCATGTACGTATTCTGTTTACCCCTCTTATCGAATGGGAGAGTTGCTTGAACTGCTAGACATAAGCTGCCAAGAAGGAAGCTTAGAAAGATGTACCTAAAGGAAATTAAGGGAAGATCTTTTGTTTCAGTGGATGTATGCCTTCTGGCTAGCCAGAGAAGTAGGAACAGATATGCCCTTTTTAATTCTGCACATCTGTTCCTCCTGCCACTTATCTACCTGATTTAGTCCGGTTCTTAGGAATGTCTTATATGGGTTTTTTGTTTATTTGTTTATTTGTTTTTATTTTTTTGAAATTGTACATTTGAATGCTGACTAGTGTCATGGTCATGAAAGAATTTTCCTTCTGGTATCAGACTGGTAGTGCCCTCGATGGTCTGTCATCTGCTGTTCAGTATTAGGAGTGAAATGTAATGATTCATATTGGACATTTTTTGGGAAAGTCTAGTGAGTGCAGCTCGTGGTTGGTACCCCATGCAGATAAACTGTCAATAGGCCACTCTCCATCGTAAAAAGCGTTCTGAGAAGCTGACTATAAACCTCAGGCTTTTAGAATGAAGGGAGATCAGCTCTGCCGTCCCAGAAATCTTTCACATTCTCCATTCCCAGTTCTCAGAGGGGAAATAGTGAAACAGGTGAGCTGAATACTAGGACAGACTGTTGCATTTCATGACTTACCAAGTGGGAAAGCTGCAATTCTGTAGCCCTGTAAACCCACTTAGGCACCACATTTATTAAGGTTACAGCCTCTTTGCTTAAAAACATGCTTGTTTTACTTTAATAATCCAGGCTTAATATTGAATATTGCATCCTGTTTCAGTACAGACTAATAATTCATTTTTTAAATTAACCTGTAGAAACATTTATTTAACTCACTGTGGTTGTCAGTTCTTTAGGTTCAAGACTTATGGAAAGAAATGGCACATAGGGATGAAAAATTTGAAGGGCTGAGGGAGGCATTTGTTTTTTCTTTTTTCCCCAGTCAGAGTTGACCAAATATCACCTGATAATTTCTTCATATGAACATATATGCTGGCCTGTCAGCAGATTCAGTTTCTGTATTTGCTGTGCCTCAGTAAGAACGTACACTGTTGATTGACTTTGCTTACATATAATTCAATAGCATAATTCTGGTATTTTACTAATGCTGTATGCTTCTAATGCTATTAGCGTATCTTAACAGTTTGCAACAAACAATGGAATTTAGAGACTTCACAATGATGTCTTTGGTTTTATGTTATATGTAAAAATATTGACTTTATTATCATCCTTTTTGTATTATACTTTTTAATATAATGGCATTTCTGTATGTCAAATTTATAATTGGAGAATAAATTGATCTGACTGCCTGAAGGTTCAGAGTAGTGTTAATAACTTCATTTGTAGCAGCTACACTTTTTGTACGCATGATATTTCTGTAATATTTCTTGCTCGCTTTTAGTAGGGTTTACATTTATTGGTTTTTTTTTCTATTCTCAAAAGCTTGACTAGCTTTGAGATTTTTTTTTTTCCTTAAAAATTTCTTTTCATTTGATCTGTTTATTTAATATTTTGATAAGAAGAAATGAATTTAACTGATCCATTCCTTATGGAATACAGAATGTAGAATGTGAAGAATATGTGGAATACATCAGCTGCAAACTCTTCTGTCCTTCTTTAATGAATTTTTAATGTCCCAATTAAAAATTCCAAAATCAAGAAATTGGAAGATTTGAGGAAACTTTACCAATTCTGAAATAAGGAAAGAAAATCTTGTTTTTGGAACATTAAAATTTTCATTTTTACTGTTCGATTTTAATTATGTTAGTTTTTCAGTAATTTCAATTGTTTTTACATTTAATTTCCTCATACCTCTAAGGAGGGAAATAAAGTTTAAGGAAACTGAGGAGGTCTTACAAACTATGTACACAAAGGTATAGTTCTGTTTTACTTTTTGGTAAAAGATGATTTTCAGGGGGGTAGGGAGAACGGAAATGCTCGATAACTCAAAAAAAGTTTGGCCAATTTTTCTCAATCTTTATGGAAGAAATTAATATTCAGAAAGAAATCAGGTACATAAATGTCAGGCCAGGTATAATATTAAAAAATGTAATCAGTGTGCCTTAGTAGATGTTTAGTAGAGAATATTTTGATTCAGAAGATTTCAGCTTGCTTAACGTAAGGGACTAAATTTCAGAAGAAAAACTTGCTAGTTCATTTCCAAAGTCAAGGTGCTAAATCAAAAATGTTCAGCTAAGTAGAATGTTGTGTTAAGAAAGAAATAGTTTAAGGGTAAGGAATCTGGCTTTCTGTGATAAGTATGTAAAGGGACTATTTTATTATCTGTTCAAGATAGTTTGACTTTATTTATTATCTAATTTCAAAAGGATCCAGGGAGTAGGATTGCCAAGATCAATGGAGTTTAGACAGATAGTTGTATTGCATAATGTAATTGTTTTCCCTCTTCTGCTTGTTCTCTCCTGTAAACTCTTATCTTTCTAAAATGCCACAGAAAGGTTATAATGGAATTACATTTTCAACAAAGATTTTAAAATAGACAAGTGCAATAATGGTTGGCCTTTTTTAGCAACACTTAAGTAAGAAACTTGAGTGGAAATTATGCTATTTAGCCTGTAATTATAGTTTCTATTACAAGAATTGTAATAAATGAACTTAATTTTAATTTTGTGCAGACATTACCAATGAAGCCTGTATACAGAAGTGTTCAAAATTATACACATGCATAAATATTTTCAGATTTAGGTTACTGCTGAGTTTTACATTTAAGTGTATGTTTGTGTATTTTGAACAAGGGAACTAACACAGCCAAACAATTTGTCTTAGGAATGCAGTTATTTAAAAAAAAAAAAAAAAATTAAATCCCATGTGGAGAAGAGTACTGGAGAATGTTTGTTGGTGTGGAAAGTATAAAATTATATAAAACAAATGAACAAACATTCAAAGAATATTTGATAGTTGCCTTGTTTCAATAGGGTGTTCCCAATCTCCTGCCTTAGTTAAATGCTCCAAACACATCAAAGGAGATGAAAAAAAAAAGGATTAATTTGTGAATACAAAGTAAACCCCCTCTAGTTTGCTGTAAAAATTCTGACACACAAATTGTATTACTAAACTTTCTAAATAAAAATATTGAAAGTCATATATTTGAAAATGTTCTTATTTTTTAAAAGATCTGAAAATTCCTTCAAAAAAATTTTTTACAGTATACAATAATGTATCATGCACGTATTTCATATTTTTAAAGTGTTTCATATGCAATAAGTGTTTTAATGTGAGATTTGGTGTAACATTGTCAGTAGTTTTTTTTTTTGATAAGGTATAGTATTAGTCAATTCTCCTTCTTAACTTTTTAAATAATAGAAAATATATACTATATAAAACTATACTTAAGTAGCCAAGTGATTAGTTCTTTTCTGTAAGATACTAAGACTTTACAGTGCTTGCCACTATACTCAAAATGAGGTCAGTTAGGTTCTAATCTCACAGACTGTAAACTCTTTGGGCAATTTCTTGCAGGAACCATCTATGTTATAATAAGATTCTAAAGAGCAGATCTTTAGCTGATGCAGTATATTATGGATCTATTTAAATAATTTTTAAACTGTGTTTATAGTTTCAAAACTGTTTCTTAGACATAGCTTGCAAAGAGTGGTATCCTAAAAAGTAGTATGAATGCTCTGTTTCACTGACCACCTTTAATTCATTTTCAGCTGATTCAACAGGAACTCATTCCCTCTACACCACCTATAAAGATTATGAGATAATGTTTCATGTATCAACAATGCTTCCATATATGCCCAATAATAGGCAACAGGTATGTTTTTACCTTCCCCATTTTCATGGTAATTTTACGTTATAAATATTTGAGATTAAATGTACCTTTGTTTGAAAGAATACTGATATAAAAATGAATTATTTTATATGAAGTATGACTCTTAATTGGAATTGTTTGTTGAAATACTATGCAGTATTAAAAATCTCATAGGATTTTTTAAATATGTCTTCGTAATTCAGGAACTTATCCTATCTCCTCCATTTCATGATATTATTAAACAGTATTGATGTCTATGGTCAATGAAATATCTTTAATATGACCTGGATTTATATCCTATGTTTGTTTTAAATATTGACTGTAGTCTGGTGGTTAAAATACACAAGTGATAAGATTTTTAAATGATTTCGCATAATACTCCTATTACAGATCTTAAAATTTTTATTAACCTACCAGCTTAGTAATAAATGCCTCGCCGTATCCTTCAAGGTGTCTACTTCTGAAGACAGAAAACTGCAGTGTACTTATTTTATTTCTGGAGAATTCACTTCGCTTATGTAATAGTTCAGAATATTTTTAAAGCATTAAGGATGGCTAAAAAACAACTTAGCATCCAAGGTGTGCAGAGCACCGGTAAGGTTACTCTGTCTTTGCCTGTCTCAGATATTTCTTGTGACTGGATTAAAAAGTACAAGCACATTTGGTATAGTATATCAAAACTAGCCCTTAAAAAAGGTGAAAGATAGAGCTAGTCATATATCAGTCTGAAGATAAGTCTAGCTTTCTGCCTTACTACTCTGCATTTTTCTATTTCTGCAGAAATAAGCATTAAAGAGAATTTTTAAAAATATTCTCTCACTGCAGTGCAAGATGTGAAGATTTCTTCAGTCATATTGGAGGACTGTCATGAAATAAAGATGCTATCTCATTTTGGTTTTGAGCAGCATGCAAAAATTGCGGTTACTGATTGTGAAACTGTGTGTGATTTGCATCTTTCATGTCTGCCCTATCAATAGGTCTTGTGGGAAGAAAAAGAGATGTGTCAAGGCAGCAACAAAAGATAAAGAAAACAATTAAAATTCTTGACAAAGGATAAATGAGAATTGAAATGGAATAGCATATATAATGTATTTAGGTATTTTAAGTAGTTAGTGCATAATATTCTGAACTGTTTGAAGAACTGTTCTGACTGAATAACATTGTAATCCATTACATTTAGTCTTTAGATAAGGTTTAAAGAAACTATGTTATAAATCAAAAGGCCGAAATTCTCCACAGTATGAGTAATATGAACGTTTTGACCAATAATATGTCTTAAAATACATGGGGCTTTCAGAGGATAAAAATGTTCAGCCTCATCACACACTAAATTGTGCTGATATCTAGTAATCAAGATACTGGATCATTTTCACTGATTTGAGATAGTTCTCTTTCTCTGAACTTTCACTTATACTTTATTACTATACAAGGTTAATTTATTAAACACAGTGAGATTGCTCTGTTAAGTAATCAGTCAAAACGCTTTAGCTGTTAGTTTAAATGTATGTTTTAATTTGATTTACACGTAAGAATACTTTGTTTTTACACATAAATGAAAAATGTTTCAGGTTTTCTTGAGAAATGGTGCACTTTGAAAAAGAACTTGGAGGCTGGGATTCTAAAATCACATGAGAGAGCTCAAAATATGGTTATATTTTAAATAATCTCTAATTTGCGTATTTATTTGAAAAAACTTTACAAGTTTGCAAGGCACAGATGCAGAACCCATTGCAATAGTAGAATTTTTCTGAATGTATTGATCTTTGACTGGAAAACCTATGTAAATAGGGAAAACTGTACACTATTAACATATAATACACTGAATGAGCTTTGCTTATCATGAAAAATGAATATTTTCATAGCAAATCACAGGCACTGACAGTAGGTATGACCTTATGTGGAGTTTATTACTTTTGTCATTGTCTTTCATAACTTTCCCTCATTTGTGAGAACAGGATATCTTCTTGCCATGATTCACTAATTTTTGTAATTGTTTGCTGTTTTTTCTCCTTCACTGCTGTGCTATTCAGCCATTCCTTCTTACTGTCCTTGCACTTCTTCCTCTGCTTTCCTTTCATTCTTTTCATTTCCTTATGTGTCTGTCTTTATAGACAGGTGTCAATTCTTATATATTGCAGAATCTTCCAATATTAATTCCACGATTTTGCCCAGCAACAAACACCCCTTTCCACAGTGTTTTAGTAGGCGCTCATCAGTCATTGTCTAATTAACAGTTTCAGTATTTGGTAAGAGCATCGTGTTGTGATTCATGGCTTTCCTGAGGTCAAAATAACATAGCAATTTTGTAATTTGAAGCAGTATTCCTGTCTGAAAACCCATCACATTGTTTTTTAGACGCTGGTATCCAGCCGTATTTGCACAGCATGGACACTGTTAATGAATTGTGACAAGCACACCCAAACGACCAGAATTTAGCCAGCCTTAATGTGCAATAATCATTGTTTAATTTTCTTCTTTACTGTTTAGTTCCAAAATACATATTGGAATGTGAAAAATATCAACAGTGTTATTTCTCACGAGCTGGGATAAAATTGGATTAGGTCTTTTTACTTGAGACTATGTAGATACTGAAGACCACAGATGTGCTCGTTCATATCCTCAAAACAGAAAGAGACTTACGGGTGCTGTGGAATATGAACGTTGTTTGTCTTTGCAGGATTTGGCGCACTAACTCTACATACCCAAATTAGGGGAATGTAGAGGCCACAATAACTTTCCTTTTAGATTCTAGATGAAGACCCCCCTATCAATAGTTATTTTTTTCTGGCATATCGTGTATGTACTGCCAATGAGGTTATTGCATCCTATCCCTATGTCACTGCTTTAGTAATGGCTTGGCAAGATATTGAGCCATTCTTCATCTAGGTGCAAGACCTTCAATGAGCAAGTACCAAGCTTTTCTTAGATTCCAAATACCTGTGAGCCAAAAACAGGCCACACCAGAATTGTTTGTTGCTTCTTCCAGGACTTAACTACGCCCTGCTTGGTCACTGATCAGGACATCCCTCTAGTTTTAGAGCCAGCAGGAGATCCAAAGAGCAAGGTAATTTTCACTTTGGCTGCAACATAGGCTGGGAACTTCCAAATCAACTGCTCCTTCCCTAGAACAGAAAGGGCTACCAGCGCTGGTGTGGCCAGTTGCTTTTCCTTTACTGGCCTTTTCTTGAAATTATAGTTCAAGGCTTTCCCCTTTAAACTTTACCTTTGCGAAGTCCCTTTCTAAATCATTCCCTTGCAAGTTTCCCAGTCATGCATTTGCAGTCTCCTTGTATGCACCTAGTCAGACCTGATTAATCCAAATCGGATCAAATCATCAGGTTTCATCTGGTTTAATGAAAACTTAAAAGTAAAACAGATGTGCACGAGTGAAATAAGCTTGTTAAAGCTAAGTTACAGTTAAGAGCTTTGAGATAACCAGAGATATGGCTATACCAAACTCAGTTTAACCAGGTCTGATGAAATATCTTTTGACATTTTTCTATTTTTGGTACTGATTAATAACGCAAATTGAAATTAGAGCTTTTTAGAGCCACTTATTTTAGAAACATACTAAAAATAAGTTTGAAGGTTTTTGTTTTTGTCTCTTAGCATCTCAGCATTTAGTTGAATGAAGAATGTTTTTCCACTCCTATTACAGGGAGAATTCTTTGTTATTTTGCAGTTTGAATAGGCAATTAAAATTCCACAGAAATGGGTAGATTTCTGTGGTTGTGCACAGCCTGTAAATGTCCTAAGTTCTACAATAACAAATACTTTTTCCTAGAGATGCATCTCTGAAAATTAAGAATTGACTATCATAGTTAAGATGTCTTGTATAACTATTTTTAATTTAATGGATTCTGCTTTTCTAACATATTTTCCTTACTGGACTCCCCTTTGTGTGTCTTGAATTCTTACATAAAACTTTTTTTTACCGATTTCCTGTTGACTGCCTACCTTACTGTATTGGCTTCATGTGCATATTCTACTACACTGCTTTAGACTGATACTAGAACGATGTCAGGGAGTGTTTGGTATCTCCTTACTGTAAGTAATCCTGTGTAATCTGCGCACCCTTTTGAGAGTTCCTAGTGTGCTCTGCATTGGCATGAGATTCCTTATAGTATGTTAGAAAGGCAGATTTAAAAAAAAAAAAAAGAAGGAAAAACATCAGCAGATCTCAAAATGGGAGAGGAAGGGGAAAACTGGGAAAAAAAAAAAAGGAGATGAAAGGTGGGAGGAAAATACAGGTCATAGCATGGAAATCTGAAAAGGGGTTGTTATAAATCTTTTTGCTTAGTTCCAGTTTCCTTCAATTCCTCTTTCATTTTCAGAATGCAGTCTTTATTTACATTTTCTAGGGAATTACGTGTTCCCTCCTTTTTCTCCATTCGATAGTTTATTCTTCTCCTATTCTTTTGTCCTATCCAAAGCACTAGTTTCCATCCTCCAGATCACTCCAGTTTACTTTCCTCCCCTTTCCAGTCCTTTGCATTATGATTCCCTGTACACAGGCACGACTGTGTTTTGCCTTTGCATTGTGTTGAAGTTCACTGACCACTAATGCATGACAGTTATTTATAACAGAGTTATATCGATTTTATTTCAAAATGTTGAAGAAGTCACTCAGATCTCAGCAACTTGGTAAGGTTCTTAAAAACAGTGACCTGACTTCCTGCTTACTAATTTTTCTGCTTCTTTAGAGATTTAAGTTCTTAAAAAAAGCGTTTAGAGAGAGATTATAAGAACTACCTTCATTTGAAAAAGACTATTTTTGCTAGTACAATTTCAAACACTTCTAAAACTTGTCGTTTAGTAAGTGACTGTTATTCTTGCTTAAGCAGCCTATAGCTGCAAGTAGAACCTCCTAAAGGAGTGTACAAAACCAGAAAATGTTCTTGGAAGACAGCAATTGTCTTGAGAAATGAATTTAATTTTAAATAAGATGTTGCTTTCTAATTTTCCAGTTTGCTCTGTGAAGAGTTAGTTATATGACAAAGGCAGCAATGAATCAGCTTGTACCTAAAAATTGAAGGTTTCTTACAAATTTAACTGCAGTGTAAATTCCAACCTGTGAGATATTATTAATAACCTCTAAACATGAACTTGTGCTTCATTACAGCAATCTAATGGTTTTCCAGCCAGCTCAACAAATTAAAGTATACCTGACATACCTAGTTCTGTGATCAGTTCCCCATAGTGGGCTTTTATTGTAATTGGTATGCAAAGGGACGTGCATGTTAAATTGCTCAAAGAGGCGGTTATTTTGGTTTTAGTCTTAAAAATCCTTAAACATGGTTAAGTCACATGGCTTACACCACGTTTTATTTTATTTCTCATATCTGTACTAAAGTTTCATCGTTAGTCTAGTTTCTTCACATTGCATTTGGGCTTTTGATTACGTTTAAAAACATATCTATATGTTAACTGAGCACTTTAAAATTGTGGGTTTGGCCATTCTCACCAGCTTCGGAATATAAACCTCTGTGCTATTTTAGCAGATGTAATGAAAAATACTTATGGGTCTTAGACTCTAATATGTGAAGCTTTGCCTCTTTTGTGGGTAGCTGAAATACTAGCTTTTAATGCAACTGAGAAAATAGAAGTGAATGTTCTTTTATTAGAAAGATTATATTCTGTAAAATCAACTTGGTATAGAAAATTTTCCTTATTTTACCATAAAATTTTCAATTACATTTATTCTTGTATCCATTTTAGTTACAGTAATGCTAAAAAGCCAAGGCAGAACTATATGCTAATAGTTGACTAAGCAAATTGTTTTGCAGACTTTAGGTGAATAAGATATTTGCAACCTAGCACATGGTAGACTACTTCTTCCCCTCTAGTGACATAAATGGGTGTTTTCTAAGCAAAGTTACTTTAAAAAAAGTGTAAAATTTTTGAAAGGTATTATTTGCTTCCATGAGGAAAGTGAGTATCATTTTATTCTGAATAACTTTTTTTCTTTTTTTTTTTTTTTTGGTGACAGTAGTGGTCCCTTATTACTGGACCACTGGTCCAAGTACAGGACATTTTGTAATTTTTATTAGTTTTTTTAAACTGTAATAATGATAACAGTACTTTAAATTTTTCCTTAAGTAAAAAGTTACTAGAATGAGTTTTTAATTAAAAAATGAGTTTCTAGTAGCTGTTGTCTCTCCGCAAGTCTTCTGTGTGTCAGCTGCGTTCCCAAGTATGCAGTAGTTAAAAATTGTGATTAGTATTCGTGATAAGCTATTTTTAAAAAGTGCTAAGATCATAATATTAAGGACCAATGTTTAATAAAAATGCAATGTGCAAAAGGAATGTTTATTGGAAAAGAAAAGCAATATTACATTTTTCATATAAAAGTATAAAGGTATTACATGGTAAAAAGGGAACTGACATGCAGAAGTATAGATAGTGTTAAAAGTTAAGTGATGTAACATTTATTTCTTATTACTACACTGATGCACTAAAATAAGATAAATTAGTAAAATCAGCAGAAACTGACCAGAAGGGGCATGGGGATTTGAAAGAAGTCACTGGCATTTTTGTGATCTTAGCCCAATTTCTTTTCCCTGTATTTTTGCAGTTCAGCCGGATATCCTTTGCCTTTAGCTACCCAGAATAAAATTAATTAATTGTTATTTTCTGAGAAAAGTAAGCTTGGTTTGTTTTGTTTTGTTTTGTTTTTTGCTAAAATGAAAGAAAATGTCATTTTTTTATAACTAATTTTGCAATACATGTTTCTTGTCCAGCTTCTAAGGAAAAGACATATAGGAAATGACATAGTTACCATTGTCTTCCAAGAGCCAGGAGCACTTCCTTTTACTCCAAAAAATATTCGTTCCCACTTTCAACATGTATTTGTCATAGTCAAAGTGCATAACCCTTGCACTGAAAATGTGTGTTATAGGTGAGTAGAGCCTTATAACTATTTAAATTTGCTATTAGCTCCACAATGAAATTGTCTATTCAAACAGTTTTGTATTTCATAGAGATATGTGTACAATTTTAAAATTGCTGCTTCATTTTCTGTAAGTTTGAAACTCCAGTGAATACCTTGCACACGTTTGGAATTATGGACACAATTTTTAGACTCAAATAGGTACAGACCTCCATCTTGCTGATGTATAGGCATAAAAAGAGCAATAATATTGTGAAAATAAGACTTTGTTGATACAGCAATAGAAATTAATTTGGAATTTGTATTGCATGCTTCTTTTTCTTAGAATGAGAAGGTGATTTAAAATAAAGTGTTTTAGAAGGCTTATTAACATGTATATGAATCCCTGACTATGACTGTATGACACCAGGATGAGTCACTGCTTTTAAGCACTTGAATCGGAGCTTTTTGGGGAGCACAAAAACATACCACAATTCAGTTCACCTTAACTCTCACACTCAAGTTAAGGTATCATGAGTTCTAGCAAGGCAACCTGGGTGGAAGAATAATTCTGAACTAGTGGGGAACTGTCCAAATAATGATCAGGACTTTAAAAGTAACGGTGTCAATTCAGCAGGTATCTTGCTGGATTTACTGTTTCTTCTAGAACCTGGGTTTCTTTAAGTAACTATTTTGTGTTTATTAAATAATACATGGCATATTTTATAAGTTATGTTTTTATAGCTACTTAATGATGTCTGTCTGTAATCCCAAATGTGGCTATATTTGAGTCAAACTACTAGTGATTGAATGTAGTTTCTTCTGTATTTGGAAATCCTTTTTTATTTGAAATATGTGTCTTAACATATATATGTATATGTTATGTGTGAAATATGTTATCAATGGTAGGGGTGTAACTGTGTATCAAGTATTTGTACTTCCTTTACATCTTGCTATGAGCTGTCCAGGTATTTTTGAAATTCCATTGTTTGAGTAGCAGGTATTTTGAAATTACATCAACCTAGAGTAGGCAGCTTAAACTGGTGCAGAATGCTACTAGTATAGACATGTGTTTGACCCTGGTACTTTTTCCTCTGTGTGAACAATGCTTCATTCTTGCAAGATGTCTGAGGATTGAAATGAGTTATATTTGTGTTTATATATTTCTCAGATTTAAGATCATGCAACTGAGTGAAAGCTGAAAATGATAAAGAAACCACTTTTAAAAATCCTTGATCGTTCATTTACATGATAGTAACTTGCAAAGCATTTTTATATGTATTCCATTTAAAGGCACGAGACAGTGACGCTCTAAAAAGTCATCCCTGATATTCTTTGTCTTACTAAGATACATTTACAGTGTCTTTTATGTATTTGAAACAAAACAGCTAGTTCTATAGAGACCATGCCCTCAGTTTTCGCTGGTGTGTAAAAGAGAATATATTTAATAGGTTTCCTAAGTGTTTCTCCCAACCTAATTATTGAAATTTCCTCTATCTAAAATGTCTAAAAATTGACATATCAAAGCTAAATTCATCTGTATAAATGGACTGTATCCATGCATAGTCCTGCTTATTATCTGAATGCCTTTTTTAAAAAAAAAAACAAATTATCCATTTTATTGTCTCTCTTTATTTCTAGTGTTGGCGTTTCAAGATCGAAAGACGTACCTCCATTTGGTCCACCCATTCCTAAAGGAGTAACTTTCCCCAAATCAGCAGTCTTTAGGGACTTCCTTCTAGCCAAAGTTATTAATGCTGAAAATGCAGCACATAAGTCAGAAAAGTTTCGAGCCATGGCCACGAGGACACGTCAAGAATACTTGAAAGATCTGGCAGAAAATTTTGTTACCACGGCTACACTCGATACTTCAGCAAAGTTTAGCTTTATTACGTTAGGGGCAAAAAAAAAAGAGAAAGTGAAGCCAAGGAAAGATGCACATTTATTCAGTGTTGGGGCAATTATGTGGAATGTGATTGCACGAGATTTTGGCCAGTCTGCTGACATTGAATGTCTCCTTGGAATCTCCAATGAATTTATCATGTTGATTGAAAAAGAATCAAAAAATGTTGTGTTTAACTGCTCCTGCAGAGATGTTATTGGATGGACATCTGGATTAATGAGCATCAAAGTATTTTATGAAAGAGGAGAATGTATTCTTCTGTCTGCAGCAGATAATTGTACTGAAGACATCAGAGAAATTGTTCAAAGACTTGAAGTAAGTACTGTTTCTAATGTGGAGTACCAACGTTTTTATCAACAGTTACTTTTCATACATTTCCTTTGAGATACAATTAAAAATGTCCTATGTTTATGCTTGAATAGTGTTTTCAATCTTCAGATCTTCAGAGAGTTTTACAGACAGTCATCCTCACAGCAACATATGAAATAAGTGTTATCAACCCATTTCGAGGGATGAAGAATCTGATACCAATAGTTTGATAGACTTGCCCAAGTCTGTGGGTGGTTTTAATGTTGAAATCAGGATTGAAAGGCTAAGCTCTTGTCTTCCCTTGCTGTAGTCTTAGGTAGAAATGTACCCTAATTAAAGAATGTACAAAATCTTTTTTCATTTACACAAAATGTGTAAAATACATTCATTTTGACTTTTATGATAACCCATGTGAATGTTGGCAAAAGAATTTACGTAAGTGGTGCTGCTGATTTGCTTCTCTATGCTGAACAACTGTAGGAAATGAAGGCAACTAGACCAATTAATTCCGGTTTTTACAGCTGACTGGATAAAGCTTTTCATGCAGTTGATGACCCTGTTAGCAAAACTGTCCTGTAACTATTCCAGTCAGTACAAATGAACTGACAAGAGCTCTGAGACAAAAAATGCTGATACATTTTTCATTTGGTTACACTTTTCCCTTTGGCCTTAATATAAGTGATCTTAATGGTGTCAGTTTTGTTTATATTAGAAAGCTTTCTACTGAAAAGAAATCATGATGCTTATGATTTTCACATTGGAAGACCTGGATTGCAGGATTAGAGCTAATGTTTTAGGGCCTTTGTAGTTCTGCATTCACGTTTAGCGTTGCACAATATCATGCTCTAAATAATCATCTTTTTCTTCCAAAGTACATGTACTCTTTCAAGAGACTCATGTCTTTAGACCTCTTCTGTCACTGTAGTATTATCCTTTTCATTAGGGTCTTCACCTTCACTTTCCTTACGCAGATGTTTTCCTTCTGAAAAGCAGTGTATTTTTAGTCCACTGCTATGAAAGTATAGCTAAATTAAAAATATATATTGCTTAAAGCAGTTGGAAAACAAGGTTCAAAGCTTTAGTAACAGCTTCTGCTGTCATCAATGACGACAATTTATTTTGCTGTTTATCACTTCCTCTGTCTTACAAAATATGTAAAATTATTTAAATGTTAAAATTTCTGAGGATAGAGCTTTATACTTCAGCTGTTAGAAACATCAAAAAAGGGGTTATCTATAAAAAAAAGATAACTTTGAGACAGCTGTTACTGCAGTTTCACCCTTTGATTTTGAATGATCTTCTATTTTATTCAGAAGTAACCATCTGTTGCAGTGCAGTGTTGTTTAATTTACTCAAATACTTCCTCTTTTTATGATCAGATTTTGGCCTAAATAATCTCAAATTGGCTTTAGGCCTCAAAAATTTAGCATCAGTTATTGCTAAGTTAACATGAATGTTAACTTCAAGTAGTTATTCTCATGAACCCTGACCTCCTCCTCTTTCACTCCTAACCATCCAACTTTCACATTGCTTGAAAGGATTAGCCATCATACTTGTTTAAAAAATTTGTTCTTCCTCCCTTCTCTTAGCTCATATTTTTCTCCTTTTTCTCTGCTTTTCCCTCTCTCTTTTGAAATCTGAATATTAATATTTAGTCATTTTATGATGTTGAATACTTTCTAAACAGTCCTTATATACATTTAGACACTGAAGCTCAGAGGTGATCAGTACAAAAACTAAAAGTTATGTAAAGCTCTGATTCAACACTGCAGATGTATACTTTGAAACCTTTTTAACTGGCTCAGAGCACAGCTAAGATCAACAAACACGTACGCCAGTAGGGGCTAAAGATGAAAGCTCAAACTGCGGTGTAATATCGAACGTCAGTGACCAGAAGATTAACCCTTTCCAGTTACTAGTAAGATAATTTGTTAAAGAAGAATATAAAGAGAAGAGAATGAAGAGAATAAGAAAAGAGAATAAAATATTGTAGGTACTAAATGAGATTTTGAAAGAGGTAACTACGTTTTATTCTCTGGCTTTAAACTGTGCTAATGAATAGGGAAGACTTTCTGAATATCCAGATTAAGAAAAGATGTGAAAAACTGCAGAGGAGCAGATTGTGATTTTGGTTTTGACCGAAAGAATCAGTTCTGGAGCAGAAAAAAAAACAGCTGGGATTTGTCAAGCTAGAATCAAATCTGCATTTGTGAGGGAGAATATCCAGTGATACAGAATTGAGAGAGAAGAGGGAAAGCAAATGTAGACAAACTTGACTGGCTCCATTTGAAGGCAGAAAAAGTAGTGGACCTGAGCATCAGAAGCATAGAGGCGGGCAGAGTCATTTAAGATTAAATAAAAATTCTTAATGGATCTTTGGACATTAATCTTAGAGTAGACAATAGTTCATTAGAAGCCTGTATACTAAAAAAACTCCTCCTTTTCTTCGTGGGATTTAAAGTACGTATGTCAATTTTAAGTTCATCTGTATTAAGGGCGTGTAGAGAAGCCATCTCTTAGATCGTGCGTAACCACGGAAAATAACCAAATAAAAATAACTGTTTTGAAGTGGAGCAACACTGTGTTTCATGTGACATTACTATGTAACTTAGTGTCACCTTTTAAGGGTTTTACCTTGGAGGGCTTGAGGTCTCCTGGATTCCTTTTTACCTTGCTTTGAAAAGATCTGAATCTATGGCAGGAACGTTTATCTTCTTTCTCTTTTAACCTTTAATTGTTTAACTAACTTGCATGAGTTCTGAAAGCTCTAAGTTGGGGAAATACAAACATTTTAGCTAGTGTATTTATCCTTGGCAATATCCTGTAATCATAACGTAACAACAAAGAGGCATCTGCCTCAGAATAAGAATTTTTTTATACTTTGTTAAAGATAAATTCCATCTCTCAACTGGGCTCCTGACTCTCCATTTCACTGCATGACTAAATATTGTATATATTTTAGAAACTTGTGACAGAAGTGCAGGGAAACTTTAGAGGACCTGAACATTTTAACTTTTCACTTTTCTAGTTTATAAATTATGAAACAGACTGCTGAAAATTAGTCAAGACTGATGAAGGTCAGAGCTGGAAAGAAAGAGTTAAAGTTTAAAGTTTTCAGCTTTTTAAATTACTCTAATCCTATATGCATAATTATGTTAGAAACATCAGATTATCTTTATAATAATTTAAGGAAACTTTTTGATTTGGCATTAATATACCTTGCACTTACTAAATGTTAATGAAAGTTGCGTTTAAAATGGAAAGCGTCTAAAAGAAACCAGTAACTTAGAGCTGAATAATGACAAAGGAAATCACTGCTGTTTTTTGAAAGAAAGATCCAGAATGCTATTTTTAAGCAAAAACTACAAAATATGTTTTGGACATCTCAGTAACGACTTTCACATTTGAACTTCGAAGCCTATATTTTCAGAAATAACTGGAGGCTCTAGGAACTCAACTTGCTGCAGTTTAAGTAGCCTGAATTTGCCAAGCAATGATTCTCAGAGTATCAGGCCCTTTCAAGTTGTTTAAGTACTTCAGAACACAGTGAAGATTAGCTCTTAATAAATGGAGGGTAACTGGATTTCATTACCTTGAGTTTACTGCAGGTTAAAAGAACGAGCATGGATCAGCTCCCTCAGATCAGCAATTATACAATAACTTATTGTCCTGTGGTGTTTTATTCTCATATGTATAGTTTCTCATTTTTTCTACTGGATGACAGATACCATATGGAAAATATTGTGTAAAGGCAATAGTACTCGTGCTTTAAAACTTATTAAGGCTGTAACTTATTGCCTTAGTGCTGTTACTTACAGAGTAACAGTGACTTTCTGCTGGCCAGGGTACAGGCATAAGTTATGTAAACACTCTAAAGCTTTTCCAGTCAGCCGGTGGATTTGGAAAGGGAGTAGAAATTACACCTCCTATCCTTGACACTAAAAAAGACTTGAACAGCAAAGGCTTGTCTAAACAGGAAGTGTACAAAGGTGATTTACAGCTTAATACTGGAGGTTAGTTTCCCTTGTTGATGGTGGGGACACACTTTCATGACAGTTGCCAATGCTGTGCAGCCCTGAATTAGGTTGGATAATGCCCCTATGGGAAGCACACAATAAGCTAGGGAACTAGTCTCCCCAGATTCCTGCTCACATAGTCAGTGGAGAAGGAGAAAGACTCTTCCAAAAACAGGCTCCTGCATTAAGCTCAAGCTCTACAACAGCCTTGGGAAAGACCTGTCCTATATAGGTGACGATACAGGGACACTAGCCTCCTAACTTTAGCATCTTAAATTAGATGCCTAAAGTTGGGTTATGTGTGTACCTTTGTAATGCCTAGTAAAAGCAACTGTAAGCAGCAAGAATAACTGTGGAATAAGGTATGCTGCAGAACTGTTCTCAATGCAGTGACTGTATCCTAACAGATGTATCTTTAAAGGGCAGATATTTGCCTTGCAGGAGTACTGTAAAGCACTTTGAGATCTTTGAATGATATGCATTACAAACAAAGTTTTTTGATAACGTGATTGCTAAGTTTTAGTTTTAAGTGTAACAGTGGAGCTAAAATAGGTACTGGTTTTGTGATATTGACTGAAGGGAATGTTAGTGTAACCCGTAAACTTAGCTTGTAATGTGAACTAGAATTTGGTCTTCTGAGAGGTGAAGGACTGGTGGAGTATCCCAGCATACACACTGTTTTATGGTTATGGTTTACTGGGTGAAACTGTTGAAGGTTTTTTAGATAGTGCATAAAAATAAATGTGCTTAGCAAAAGCTGAATTTGAAGGTTCTTGATTACTCTATACAATGACAGAATTACTTCTAATTGAATACAAAGAATCTCAGTTTTCTGATTCTAAATTTTCCAGTGGTATGAACAATCTTATCCCATTTTAATGGTGTCTACATTTGGAGATGGTACTAGTTAGGAATCAGATTGCAAGACAAAATAAATCAATATGATCTTCATTGTTAAGGGCTGGAAGAAGAAAAGCTGCAGGAACTGAAGCCTTTCACTCAATGTGACTTGTCTTATCTGTCAAGTTTCATACTGTTAAATACTGAAGAAAAAATGCCTACACACCTGCAGTCAGTCAGCCAACAAGAATTAAGTAACTGACAGGATTGCATTTTGCTTCCTTTGTGTTTTGAAGCTGAAGCAGCTGTTAAGATTTCAATAAGATATAAATGATCTTGTGTTGAAGTGGGGGAAGGAGGAGGAATTTGATGCAGGACAGCTGGTTGCTCCAGGGATGTCAGGTTTTAGCATTTTGAAGTATTTTGTTCATTTTGTTTTATGCCGGAAACTTTATTCAACCACAAATGTCAAAATAACTGTTAGCATTGGTATACTGAGGATATTTAACGTCAAGGCATCCATGGCTTTATAATATCTGAAAACTGATCTGTTTGTGTATCCAAAGAAATGAGTGTCCTGACAATAGCTTAACAATCTGATGCTTCTTTAGATAGTGACCAGAGGATGTGAAACCACGGAAATGACCCTTCGGAGGAATGGCTTGGGCCAGCTTGGATTCCATGTGAACTTTGAAGGGATAGTGGCAGATGTGGAGCCCTTTGGTTTTGCATGGAAGGCGGGCTTAAGGCAAGGGAGCCGCCTGGTTGAGATCTGTAAAGTGGCTGTGGCAACTTTGACTCACGAACAAATGATTGACCTTTTACGCACATCGGTCACAGTAAAGGTGGTGATTATTCAGCCACACGAGGATGGAGCTCCTAGAAGGTAACCAGTAACAGCCCTTAATGTGATATTTGCATCTTTTTTTTTAATTTGCTGCTGTTTTGCCTGTGGCTTTTTTATTAGAGGCCCTCAGGAAATTAATATTGTGTCTTGTATTCGTTGGTACTAGTACTGTGACTCTTAAAAGCAATTTTTTCCCCCCAAACCCATATGGTCTTGAAACAGAAGATAAAATGGGTTCCTCTAAGCAATTTAGTGAGAAGCTTAGTTTTGTACAGCTTGGAAGAGTAAGAAGTGAGCCTGAACTGTTATAAAACCTGATATGACTTCTTTTCTGCTGCAGGATTTTTATTTTATTGTGTCTTAATACTAATTTTGAAAATTGGGAATCCTTGTCTGAGAAATATACCTTTTCTTTCTTTGAAGTTCCTTTGACTACTAACTATTGTAATTGAACCTTTTTTATTTCTTTTTGAATATGTAACAAAGCAAGTAGAGAAATGTTGGGTTCAGATTACCTTTGGTATCAGGCCTTACAGTCCTCCTCATTTTCTACAAATATATAATTTATTCATATTAAATGTTGAATCACATCAATGAAATCATCGGTTAAAGCTAAGAAATCTTGCTGCAACATGAAATAAAGGAGCACACACACTCAGGAAAGCAGCATAATAAAGATGATTATGAACCATTGTTTTCAGGGACAAAATGCACTATTCTTCTGCCAGTGTTCCTTTTTTATGGTGACCAAAAGATTTTTTTTTTTGTTCTTTCCATTTTGAATATTATTGTGGTGGATAAGAAAGTGGTAACTCTTAAAACTTTGTAACAGTCTGACTTTTTCTCACATATTTTATCTAGGCATTGTTAATTTGACTCATTCTGAATGAGAACTGTGCCAGAGTAAATTGAATTACTTACTTGTCTTCTTTTAGAAGGCCTTTTTAAAATCTCTTGTTGATTTTTAATTTAACAGAGAAAGCATTAGTGTGTTGCTCTTGGCAAGACACCAAGCCATAACATTTTACGTAGCATACAGCAGTGTGAAGTTAGTGCCAGTTCTACATGAATGCTGGTGTATTTTTATTTAATTGGTGGCAATTCTCCAAGTAGTCATTGGCCTGATGAATGACACAGAAGTGTCCTTCCCTGCCTCAACCTGCATGTTGAAGCACTGGGTTCCTTTTCAAAGAAAATGTCTGTGAATACCGTTTTGCTTAGTGGGATAGAATTTGCAGTTAAGCCTCTCTTTGCTTAGCTTTGCTTTTCTCACCATCTGTTTCTGGGTATGAGTTTTCAGTGGCTTGTTTAGTATACATCTCCAGGCTGTTTACAGTATATGAGCCTAATGAGTTGATCCTATTACATTAAAGGTAAAACGTGTATTTTATAGTCCCTGATGGAAAAATACATACTATATGAACTGTTTATATCTTCTTTGATACATTTTTAGAAATAAAATGTTAAAATCCCCAAACTGTATAAGATATATGGCACTCAATCTATGTGTAGGAAGAGCTTTAAGTGAGTGCCACCGAACTGGGAAAAATTGTCTGCAAAGCTGTTCTTGTTTATAAATTTTTTACATTTTCTAAAACTGTGTAACTAAGTATTAAGGCACATGTATATATTATTTTTAAAAATATGTTCCTATTCTAAAATGTGAAAAATAATTCCTTGTAGCTTCATCTCTCTAATGTAAAAAAAATCTTCATTAATTTCTCTTTCTCTCAAATGCCAACTTTTCACTGATACTAAAAGCCTCCCACCACATATGACTAGTGATTTTGTTTACCCAGTTTGAAAGGGATCTGATATCCAGAAAGTTTTGAGCTTGCCTTTCTTCAATGTTTACAATCTAAATAGGGCAGACAGAAAGCAGTGTACGTATCAAGTGATGCAACTGACAGTTTCAGGTGACAAGCACCACCTAAGATACTGTTCGTATAAAATTTATTAACGGGAGGTAGTGCGAGGAGAAGGTGGAAAGGCACAAGTTATCAGAGGTTGGAAGAAAGAGAGTAGTCTCTTGAACTGTAATCACAGCTACTTACTTGTGAAAACCTATGCAAATCCACCTTCCTGTTCCCAAGTCAATTACTTGTCTTAGTCATCTGCTATGTCTTGTCTTTTAGAATCATAGAATCACAGAGTGGCTGCGGTTGGAAGGGATCTTTGGAAATCATCTAACCCAACTGCCTTGCTCAAAGCAGGATTAACTGTAGAAGGTTGCTCAGGGCTGTATGCAGTTGGGTTCTGAACATGTCCAAGGATGGAGACTCCACAACCTGTCTGGGCACACTGTTCCAGTGTTCAATCATCCTTAAAGTTTAAAAAAAAAAAAAAAAAGCTTTTTTTTTTTTAATTTTTTAAAACGTATTTCAATTTATGCCCATTGCCTCTTGTCCTTGCGCTGGATACCTACTACTGAGAAGAGTCTGGCTCTGTCTTCTTTATACCCTCCCATCAGGTACTTATATACTTTGATAAGATTGCCTCTGAGCCTTCTCTTCTCCAGACTAAGCAGTCCCAGCTCTCCCAGCTGGCTTCTCCTCATATGACAGGTGCTCCAGTCCCTTAATCATCTTAGTGACCCTTGTACTGGACTGGCTCCGTTAAGTCCATGTGTGTCTTGGACTGGGGAACCTAGAAGCAGGCCATAGCACTCCTGATGTGGTCTCAAATACTCCAGTATTCCACTACTCTTAGTACTCGGGATGTGGTCTCTTCTGGACTTTAGTCTCTTCAGAGTATAGCCGCTAATATAAATGGGGTTCAAAACTAACTGTGGTTTTTGTTTTTGCTACAGTTTAAATATTAAAGTTAACAGCAAAATTAAGTTGCTTGTATTGCTTGTACAAACAAACAAGCAAAACACACACACTTAAAGGATAGGTCCTCTGAATTCTTGAAATGATGGTACGTTACTTCATTGGGTACCTCTAGAAAAATACTGATGTGGTATCATGATTAAGAAGCTTTTTTTTTTTTTTTTTTTAAAAAAGATATTTTAAAATGTCTTTCCCTCCTTCCTTTTTCTCCATTTTTACATGAATGAAAATTAGTGGAAGTTTAGTGACTCTCCAAGCTATTAAGAAAGTGCTGGAGGATCTGAATAAAAATAATCAAAAGTCATCATGAGGTGACCTTAGTGAAATAGCTTGTTTGTATTTAAAAATGGAACTTTTTGGTTAAGTTAAGTAGATATACACAGCCATTTTATTAAAGAAACTCATAAATTCCCACTCAGCTTATTTTTTCCATCTTCACTTATGTTTAGTCTCTTGGATTTTTGTTTTACTGGAATTTTTAATGTTCACTGCATTGTTCACAAATTGAATTCATTAACATTTATCAAAACTATTTGAAATGATTTATTCTCTTTTTATAAATGAAAGTGTCAACGCTGAACCAATCTGATTTAACTCTTGGTCACTTTGTTCCTTAAAGTAGCTAGGAAAACCTTTTGCAGATGATTCTTTCCTCCTGAAAAGTTAGTTCAGCTTTTCTTCTACTTATACGTTCATGAATGATAGTAGTTGTAACAGAGTCACAGAGTGGTTGAGGTAGGAAGGAACCTGCGCAGGTTATCTGCTCCAGCCCCACTGCTCAAGCAGGGTCAGCCAGAGTAGGTTGCCCAGGAATAAATGTGTTCCATTACTTTCTTAACATAGATGCTTCTACATTCAGTCTTGGTAGCAGTGTATGCAAAAGCAATCATGGGATAAGGCCTTTTGTTTGCTATCCTGTAAAATTAATGAACAAAGCTCCCATTGTTGTCATTTTGCTCCAGCAATTAAATAATCACACACAAACTGAGAAATCATAATTCTTTGTATGGCACCAGGCACCAAGCAAGAAATTGCTTTTTTATAACATAAATTCCTTCAATTACAGTGCGATATTAAAACAAACATTCTGGTCAGTGTGTTCAGCTCTGAATAAGTATCGTTGTATAATTTGTTTCTATGTTAAGTGTTTGCCTTCAGAATTTTTGACTTGTTCTTCTGTTGTTGTAACTGTTAACCTGATACTGTAGAGCATGATCTAGAATTGTACATATTTTAACAGGAAATTAATGACATTAGTTCTAATTTACTTTCACTGGTATTGTAACAGTAATGCTCAAAGATACTATGTGCTTTAATCAGTCAAATCTAATCAAGGAATTCATGTAGTTCTAAAATCCATTTTAAACTGTGTATATGGGGCATTCCATTAGTCTTATTATTGCATGGAAGCTTATGTGTCTGTTTTAGTTAAACTTCCATTATGTACTGAAAGTGTTCTTAAACAGTTTACAGACAGTTTAGAAGTGAACAAAACTAAAAATGAATTTTCTAGTGATGGACAAGAAACAAAAGCTCAAGCACAATCCCTGTAAGAGGTGGTAGTTTCCACCTGTTTGTCTCAGCAAGTAACTATTCAAAAAGATTTTTTGGGCTGAAAATTTGAAAAATTAATATTTTCAAACTATAATTGAAACTTCCTGCAGGCAATTATTAAGTACTACTGCGTTTCTTTGAAGCTCTTTTTTCCTCTTGAACTTTGCAAACTTTTTTTGGCAATGAAATAAGTGTAATGGCATCGTGCATTTTCTGATTCTGAAGCTTTTTCCTCTTGAATGATTGTGAACTTATTAAACAATCTTGTCTCTAGGTGGGTTTTTTTTTTTTTTTAAGTGAAAGGTGACCAGCAGAGCATAGAAAATTTGGAAGAATGTTTTTAGGAAGTGGGAGAGTTCAATTAGTCCAGATCTTTCAAGGGTGTTTGTCATAAGCTGGATTGTTCATAGGCCATTCTTTGATCCCTGGACTTGAGAGCATGTAGAATAGTTTTTTTAAGATAAGCATTCCAGACTAGAATGAACTTGCTGTCTAAAATCAGTGGCGTCATACTGCCAGACTGACAACATTTGAGGTAGATTAAAGCAGAAAAACCTGAAACTTTAAACTTTTGGTTGTACTAGTTGAGTTTGGTTTGTACAAGTAGAGTTTCTATGTACAAAATCTTTGAATTACAACCACTGCTACTAACTT